CACTATACACAAAATGGGAGGCCAAGAAACACTGGACAGTGAAAATGGCTCATTGAAATGGGCTCCAGATTCCAGAATCACTAGAGTCCTAAGAGCAGGGGAGCCATCTACCCATGTATCCACTCACTGCTGTTCTCTTTTCAGTATGTAATCAAAGGCTCTCCTCCAAGCCAGCGGCTGGTGGAGCACAGATAATTGGACACAGTCCCTCCACCGAGGAAGTTTACGGGACCTGAAAGTCTTTTGGGTGTTTATCAAGCCCAGGATATGCATACAAGTAAGGATCTCAAAGAAGTGGGACCCTAATTGGATGCCTATGAGTGTACGTGAGCTGGTGAGGCCTTAAAGAATAGCCAAGTGTACCTGGTCTCAGGTTATCTTCAGATCTACCCTTCACTTTGACTCATCGACTGAAGGTCAGTAGCTCTGAGGGAAGTTGTACATTTGAAACGTATGAACTTGATTTCTTTGTCTCTGCAGGTCAACAGTAGGCACTGCGGATGATGGGAGTCCTGATTTATACAGACTTGCCGAAAAATAGACAATGTTTGTGTTTCTTTCCCCAGCTCACTCCCACTTTTATGAGTGCTGTTAAGTTTCATTTCAGCATGTGAAATAATTTGTGACTCACTGAAATGAAACTCCACTCAGTCCTCATAAAAGCAGAATAAAATGGTATTTCCATGTTTCGTGTTCTGGTTTGAATCAGCCTGCTCGGTGGAGCTTAGTGGAATCTGCTCAAAATGCCATGTGGGAGCCTCTTGTCCCCTCCATTCCCTACCAGCTCGTCACCGTGCTTCTCAAAATTTCCCAGAACTCCTTCTGCCACCCTAAAATAGCAAAATTTATAGCTGAAGGGAACAGGAAAAAGCTAGTAAGTGAACCATGGCAGTATTTCTGTAAGTGCTGTCTTACATAAAATGTGGATGATTTCTACCTTTTATCCAATATAATTAGATAATAGTATTGGTGAATAGGTACAGATCCTTTGCTCACCAATTTCAAGATTTTTTTTTTTATTACTATTCTTCTCTTTAACGGATTTTCTTTGCCTTACTCATTCACAAGTACCACAGGAATCCAAAACATTCTACTTTGGCAATTACTGTAACTAGGTATCGATACTGTACTTGTATTTAATTTCTTATACTCTTATTTAAGTATGCTCAACATTCTTATAAAACTTTATTAACTCTGACTTTACTCATTTGGATTCTTATGAGAACGGACTCCCCAAGGGGCTAAATTTAACCTTTATAGTTTCTCTCAGAGGAATAAGTGCTGTTAGAAAAATCACAGGTGGTATTTTTAACTTCCATCAAAAAGTGAGTTGTTTTGCAGGGATTTAACTTCATGAGGTGCTTATGGGTGCATGCTCCCACCACCTACCAGGATGGTGGTCTTCCTGCTAGGACCGGTGGGCTGCCTGGAGGCAGCTGGTACTTGGGAACATCCATGCAGAGGAGATGGCAGTTCTGAGAACTGACAGGTGGGGCAAGGCTCCAATGAGCATGAGCCTGCCCACCTGCCACAGAGCATGGCCAGAGGGGCCACTGTCTGTACCTGTGTGCCCTAGTGCTCCTGTGCTGAGCAGTGGTGCTTGGTTAGTGCTAGTCTCACTTCAGCTGTCAGTAAATGCAAAGATTGTTTGAGGCATTTGAGAGAGACTGGGGTGGGGGTTAGGGAAGGGGTGGCATCCGGGAATGGTAAGGCAGGTGTACCCATGTTACTGCCATCACGCCCAAGTGTAGGGCAGGTTCTGGCTTGAAGGCTGGCAGAGACCTGGTAGAGACCTTGGGTGGCATCTCACCCATATTGTTCTGACTGAAAAACTGGATATTTTGCTATCATGGCGCAGGGAAGTTCCCTAACTTAAGGGTGTGCAGTAAGAACCAAGGTCACATGGGGCACCTGGGTGGCTCAATAGGCTGAATGTCCGACTTTGGCTCAGGTCATGATCTCCCAATTCGGAAGTTTGAGCCGTGCGTGGGGCTCTGTGCTGACAGCTTGGAGCCTGGAGTCTGTTTCAGATTCTGTGTCTCCCTCTCTTT